TGGTCTTAAATTATGGAAGTCCCATGAGTTCATAGTCTTCTTTTATCGCGCACGACGTGGCACTATTGCTTCCACGTCGTGTGTAGCACCCAATTCCTGGTACGTATTTAATTTCATTGAAATCTTACAATTTACTCTGGGACTCGGCGAGTTGGAGGCCCAACTTGTCGAGTAGACTCGACAGTTGGATGAGGGGTTTAAGTGACCCACTCGACGAGTGGGAAGGCCGACTCGACGAGTAGGAGCTATCTGGATAAAACCCTAATATTTAGAGTTTGCACCCTATTTAAACATTTTCTCTCGTCCCAACCCAACCTCCATCACCCTCCCAACTCAGAGAAACCCTAGATTGAAACCCTAAACAATTTTTGAGTGATTTCAGCTCTTTGGTGCCTTTTTATGTGTGTTTGATGTTGAAGGAGAATGAGAGAGCTTAGCAGATCAAGAGGAAGCTAGTAGATCCCAATGTTTTGCTTCATTCTCAATCCATTCAAGGTAAGAAGCTTGAACCTTGACCACCTATTTCTTGGATCTTGTTTTGGGGCTATTTCTCCACCTTTTCTAAGCTTTTGAGAAGTTATGTTCAGTTTTGCTAGTATATGTGGGTTGTGCTTCAGATCTGGAACCATTGATGGTTCGCATTGCATAAAGGTGCCAAATTTATGGACATGGGAGACCCATGCATCATATAAATCCCATTTTATAGCCATTTGAGCCAAAAACCCCATGCATGGACATCAACTTCGTAGCATTACATATAAAAGGGTCATTAGGAGGTTAGATCTATGATTGGGATGCATTAAGTCCTATTGAAATCAACTGTATAGTTTTGGAGAAAGAGGGACTTGGCGGCTCACTTAGGTGATTCGGTGAGTCGGGACGCTTTAACCCCCAAAGTGTCTCCTGGAAATGGTTTTGGTTGAGTGGAAGGAACACAAAGGCTGATAGCAGTTTGAACAGACTCGGCGAGTCCAAGGCAATCTCCTAACTTATGAAGACGGACCTGGCGAGTTCAGGGGGACTCGGCGAGTCGTAGATTGAGCATCTTCTTATGAATGAAGATGAACTCGGCGAGTTCAAGAACGAACTCGGCGAATCGTTTGAAGATTGTACGATATGTTGTTGAAGGTGAACTCGTCAAGCTCTTGCTAGACTCAACAGGTAGGACTGGGTTTATGACATTTTGTGGTTATGGGGACTCAACAAGTTGGCGGGCCAATTCGGCGAGTCGAGTCAACTAGATGTTGACTTTGACCAAAGTTGACTTTGACCATGGATTTGACTTGGACATTGATTGGGTTTGGGTTGACCCTTGTAAGGGTTGCAAGTATGAGTACGAGTTGATAACTTGGATGAGTTGTCGTGTAGGGATTGAGGAGTCGCGGAGAGTCGATTTCCACATTGATATCAGTACATACACTACGCGACATCGAGGTGAGTTACTTTCTAGTAGCGCGGGGGGGGGGGGGGTCTACGGCCACTGTGCTGGCCCACAAGTAGGAGTTGTATGTTAGATGATTGTCTTTGTTATATTCATCTAGGTTTGCTATTACTTGTTATGTTTTATGTGCTAGCATGATACGATTTTACGTGATGACGGTAGTAGTAGGGGAGATAGTCCCCAAGTTACTGACCGATATGGCAGAAGGGGTAGTTTAGCACCCACCTATGTTATATTATGATTACATGACTATATGTGATAGACCGCTCGAGAGGGCCAAAGGGGTAAGCCTACACCTAGATATGCTAGGAAAGGTCACCGGTCGAGAGGACCGAAGGGGTAGGCTAGCACCCAAATATGCTAGGCAAGGTCACCATTTGAGAGCACCGAAGGGGTAGGTCGGGCATCAAGATATGTCTGGTAGTACGTATGTTATGTGTTCGTATGGTATGTGGTATGATCGGGGAACTCACTAAGCTTCATGCTTACAGTTTTCATTTTTCTTTCAGGTACCTCTTCAGCCAAGGGGAAGGAGCCGACACGATAGCGGCACATCACACTCACGCATACGTTGCACATTGAGTTTTCTGGGATTGCACTCTGATTATTACTATTATCCGATGATATGTTTTTGAGACACGACGTAATGGTTTTATGAATTAATATAATATTAGCAATGTTAGATAAATTATTTCATACGATTACTTAATTAAAAATTAAATTTTTATCCTTGAAAATTGGGATGTTAGAAGTTGGTATCAAAGCCTTAATTTCACTGATTCAAATACACTCTCGGGTGTGTTTGAACTCAAACTGAGGAATTGATAGGAAAATTTTAAAAAATAAAATCATTTTATCAAAAAGGAGTTTGAAAAGAGAAAAAGGAACCTTGAAAAAGAACAAGATGTGTGATGTGCGCGACTGGACGAGCTCAAGTAAGTTTTCCCCAAGATACCCATACATGTTATGTTATGATATGATATGATTATGAGAACGCATGCTAGATTAGGGCTAGAGGATCTAGGAAGGATGCCTTATATGCCTACTATATATATGTATGAGAAATGCATGATAGATTAGGGCTAAGGATCTAGGAAGATGCCTGATATGCTTTCTATATGTGTTTTTTGGCTGCAAGATGTTACTGATTAGTCAGTTATGTGATAGCTTAGATAGAGTATGATTGGATTGGGTTACTCAATGCCTGAATGTTGTTGCTTTGTGCTTCAGATGTCCTAGTTATATTTAGCTAACTAGTAAAAGAATATGTTAAGTTATATATAGCGAGGATGAAACAATTCCAGAAAGTTAGGTCTAGCCCCACTGCGCTGCTCTTTTTTTAGTCCAACCGTTGTGGGGTAGGACCTTTCATTCAAAGAATTATATGGTCTTAGTAATATGTAGTGGTTTTCGTGAGCTAGTTAGGTAAAGGTAGTAGGGGATCCTTATGCAGCTCATGGCAGAGTGTAGGTCGGAAACATACCCTAGGGTAAGCCTAGGATGAGATTGGAAAGGAGTGAAGCAGTAGTAGAATGGACTTGGTGAAGTCGAAGCAATCTTTGAGGAAACACTCAGCCTGATAGCGGTTTGTTTTGGACCTGGAACTCATGGGACTCGACGAGTATATGAACAGACTCGGCGAGTCCAAGTCAATCTCCCAACTTATGAAGACGGACTCGGCGAGTTCAGGAGGAACTCGACGAGTCATAGACTGAACATCTTTTTATGAATGAAGATGAACTCGGCGAGTTCAAGAACAAACTCAGCGTATCGTTTAAAGATTGTCCGATGTGTTATTGAAGGCAAACTCATCGACCTTTTTCTAGACTCGACGGGTAGGAGCGGGTTTATGACATTTTGTGGTTATGGGGACTCGACGAGTTGGCGGGCCAACTCGGTGAGTCGAGTCAACCAGATGTTGACTTTGACCATGGATTTGACTTGGACATTGATTGGGTTTGGGTTGACCCTTGTAAGGGTTGCGAGTATGAGTATGAGTTGATAACTTGGAAGAGTTGTCATGTAGGTATTGAGGAGTCGGGGAGAGTCAATTTCCACATCGAGATCAATGCAGACACTATGCGACATTGAGGTGAGTTACCTTCCAGTAGTGTGGGCTCTACGGCCATAATGTCGGCCGACCGGTAGGAGTTGTATGTTAGATGATTGTCTTTGTGATATTCATATAGGTTTGCTACTACCTGTTATGTTTTATGTGATAGCATGATATGATGTTACGTGATGATGGTAGTAGTAGGGGGGATAGTCCTCAAGTTACTGGCCGATAGGGACGAAGGGGTAGTTTAGCACCCAACTATGTTAGATTATGATTACGTGACTATATGTGATAGACCGCTCGAGAGGGCCGAAGGGGTAAGCCAGCACCCAGATATGCTAGGCAAGATCACCGGTCGAGAGGACCGAAGGGGTAGGCCAGCACCTAGAAATGCAAGGCAAGGTCACCGGTCGAGAGGACCGAAGGGGTAGGTCGGGCACCCAGATATGCCTGGCAGTATGTATGTTATCTGTTCATATGGTTTGTGGTATGATTGGGGAACTCACTAAGCCTCATGCTTATAGTTTTCAGTTTTCCTTTAGGTACCTCTTCAGCCAAGGGGAAGGAGCCAAACGCGGTAGCGGCACATCACACTCACGCATGCTTTCCACTTTGAGTCTTCTGGGATTGTACTCTGATTATTACTATTATCCGCTGATATGTTTTTGAGATACGACGTAATGTTTTTATGAATTAATATAATATTATCAATGTTAGATAAATGATTTCATACGATTACTTAATTAAAAATCAAATTTTTATCCTTGAAAATTGGGATGTTAGAAGTTGGTATCAAAGCCTTAATTTCACTGATTCAGATACACTCTCGGGTGTGTTTGAACTCAAACTAAGGAATTGATAGGAAAATTTTAAAAAATAAAATCATTTTATGAAAAGGAGTTTGAAAAGAGAAAAAGGAACCTTGAAAAAGAACAAGATGTGTGATGTGCGCGACTGGACGAGCTCAAGTAAGTTTTCCCTAACATACCCATACATGTTATGTTATGATCACTACTAGAAAAACAGCCTTTTACGACGCCCATTGCGCGTCGTAAAAGGCTCAGACGACGCGCAAATGCGTGTCAAGGAAGGCCCTGTCATAAAGAGAGACGACGCGCATTTACGACGCGCGTTTACGACACGCAATGCGTATCAAGGAAGGCCCTGTCATAAAGGAAGACGACATGCATTCGCGTGTCGTAACCTTACGATGCGCGTGTTAATGACACGCAATGCGTTTCAAGAAAGCCCATGTCAAGAAAGGCCATGTCATAAATGAAGATGACACACATTTTTGCGTATCGTAAATTTAAATGTTTAAAAAAAATAAATTCATATATTTATTAATTTTTCAATTAAATTTGCATTTAATTTCTCATAATAGAAATAAAATACCATATACAAAAAATACAATCCATTGCATAATATAAAATAAAATTTCATACTCAAAAAATAAAATAAATTGCACAAATTATAATGTCATACAAAGAATCATTCAAATGTTAAACAAAAATAATACATTGCTTACATGGGCTATACATTCCTATAAAACTAACAAATAATCATACAACTCTGTTTGTTACTGGAAAGGAATGTCAAACATGATTACAAGTCTCCCTTAATCTTGATTACTCACCTGCTTAAGTAGAATGTTGTTGTTGAGAAGGTTACCTAGCAACAGAGAAAAACACAACACCTCTCCCACAATCACAACATCATTTACAAAGAAAGGGTTGTCAATTACTTTCATTAAGACTTTCATTCAATCACAAAAAAATTAAATAAAAGGGTGAAAAAGTAACTTACTTTTGATAAGTTGATCTCCCTTAGAGCAAACATAGCTAAAGCATTGAACAAGACCCTATTTCAAAATTTTATAAATACACAAATCATGATACCTGATATTGGAATACACACTTTGAGACATGAATTAATACAATTAGATTAACCTGGATACATAGGAAGTAAAGATGGAAGGTGCCAGAACTCCAGGGGCATTGGGTTGGTTCCTTCCCACTCGCACACACCAAGCCAGAACTCCACTTAATCCAGCACCAAAATAAGCCTGCATTCAGAAAGCTGCAGGGGTGAGTCACAATTCAAGAATCTGTTAAAATTTGAGGAATAACATGTTCAACCAAAACAATATTAGAAAACAGGGTTAAATGTGAAACATAGCAATGTAATAATTATCAAGGTGCTAGAATACTTGAAATCTAGATTATTTGCTAGTTTGTACATCCAGACGATTTTATCACGAACATAAGTCATGTTATCAACTTTCTGAAGAAGTATACCAATACATTTGTAGGAGAAGAATACTCTCAATAAGATAATTTAATTAAAAAAATGTAATGATAATGATAATGAGTTCATACCTGTGAAGTAGTGCAGAATGCTCATCATCATATGTATAAAGTTCATACTACTTTGCAAAAGCATTTCCAAGAGAAATGAGCCAATCAATGTCTTGAACAACATCCAAAGTTTTTGCAAGAAACTGCAAACAAAAAAAGAAATAAATAACAATTAATGACATGAAAAGTAAAATCGCTATCTATATGAATTATAACACATACATTGATTGTCATATCATCCTACGTTTCTTGATAATTAAGGTCTTTAGTGTCACTGACATCTTTCATTTTTGGAATCTAGAGCTTAACAAAACAATATATAAGTTAGAGTTAGGTCAAAGCATCATAACTAATCCAATTCCAAACACATTAAAAAATAAAAATAAATAAAGATTATTGCAATAGATGCAGGAATCTTGATTCTTGGCCTGCAAACTACATAAAATCAGAAATAAAGACAAAGTGGAGCTTTAATCTTACCTTGAAAACAAACCAAAAATCAAGAATATACCATTCAAACCCAAGCCCAACAAGAATAAGTGACATGAACTCCCAAAATTTTATTGGTTCCATATTCGTTATAAAGTAAGCCTAGAAATTTAAAAAATAATAAAAACTCCATATATTATATTGTCTCAAGTAAAATTGAAAATGTTTATTTAAATTACCTCTCCTGCAGCTCTCTTTGAGGCAGATCCATCTGAAGCTAGAGCTCTTTCAGCACATACATGAGCATGTGCAACATTCTCAACATATGTGAAATCATACATGTTTGTTCCATCCCCTATAATAAACTGGTAATCCAAAAATCAACCAAAGAATGTAAAAATTAAAATCAGTTTCAATTAAATAGAGACTCAATAAAAACTTATATAATCGTTGTGGACGTGGACGTCTTGGCTTCCTTCACTTACTAGGTGTTCTAGAAATTGAGTTAGTAAACGAAGTCGGTTCCTGTAGGATTTAAAACAAATTGATATGTTAATAATAGTATGAGGATAAATACAAGTAAGAGAAGAAAAAACATACCTTTTTTCACACTCATCCACAAGAGGCTCGACTGGAAGAAGAGATCGAACGGATAGGATTAAACCTTTGATGAAATCCTCGGGGCATTCATCGTCTAGGAGTTGTCCGACAACTAGGGGAGCATTCCCTGGGTTGACCTATAAAGATAACAGATAAGTCTTTAGATATACCTGAAATTTTGTTGGATGGAATTGAATGAGTGGTGATATTTTAATATTTTATACCTTCTGAACATAACCTTCGATATACCGAAGCATGTTGTTGGTATAAAGGTAGTGAGTGAGATCTGGAACAAAGCCAAAGCGATCACACACGTTGATTAATGGCCTTGCATCAGGAAGCTTGGCTTCCATTAGGAAATTCTTGGTCTTTTCAGCATCATAGAAATTTGATTCCCGTGTTACTCGTTCAACCTCCTTGATTTGCCCTACCTTTGCAGCTGCCTCGATGTACTTGAAGTGTATGTCAGGATCCTCACTGTGATAATGATTGGTGTTGGTAAAATTGGAAGTATGCAAGCACGAAAGACAAAATCCAAGTTATCTGAAGAGAAAGAGATTACCTTGAGCTCAAATACGACCCCAAGAAGAAGTAAAGGCCTTCATATGATTTAAATTGTTCGAAAATTTTAATGCATGATTCAACACCCAGCTGCTCACAATACTCCTTGGCAACCTACATTCCAAACAATAGTATCAGTACCAAATAGGTTCAACTCTGATGTTCAAATAATAACCATTAACATAGTAAAATCAGATCAATTGTTACCTGGACGATGATCTGAAGGTTTCCTCTTAAATTGACCAATAAAATGACACGTTTGATATCTGGCAACTCGCTGTAATGCTGCAAATAAATAAATAAATAAATCAAACAAGTGATAGAGGTTTTAAGGTAAAAAAAAATAAAAAAAAAAAACAAGTAAATTCTGGACATTAACCAACCTGAAGGGCCCGGACATAAAGACCTGCTTTCTCACAAAGTTGAGCAATTCGAGGGCGATCATAGTGACTGAACATCCCATTAGCTAATATGGCATCAGCAACATTAGGGAATGTTACAAGGTTGATTTCAAGGACCTGTGGAAAATAAGAAGAATGAATTTAAAGTTGGTTTAATGAAAAGGTGATTATAAATTGTGTGTGAGGATATATCATATATGTAACCTTGGTTTGGAGGTGAGCATGTTCGGGTAAATTGGGTTTAAGAACATCCAAGAGGAAAGCTGTTGCCTCTCGTATCAAGTTCCTCTGAGGATATGGAAGAAAAAGTTTAAAATTAGTTTAACTAAGAAGTAATTTATTTAAATATTTAAAACTGTTTATGAAATGTTATAAGGATTGTTAACATGCCTGAAGGAAAAGATCTGTAATGGTGTTGTAATCAACAGGACAACCTCCTTCCATTTGGGACATCATTAAAGCAAAATTTACAGCACCCTGCAAAAAACAATTATGTTAATGATCTAACTTCCATACACCTATATTTATGTCATCCAAATTGAGAATAGAGGATTTATAATAGTAAAACTTTTTCACTATTTTTTGTGCCACATCAGCGCCAACTCAACAGCCTAAAAACCTCAACATATTTCTATTATAGTAAATCTCTGAGCTTATTTATGGGTCCTACCAATTTCAGTTTATTAATTAAAAAAAAAACTCTTATGGATGTTTAATACCCGAGGATCTGATCGAAGAATTGTTTGCAGAAGGAAGAGATAATCAGGTGAATACCCAACCTGCGTGAATTAAAGACAATTTTATAAGGATCTAAAGCAAGATGAAGACTAAATGTAGAGAAATTAGTAAATTACTGCAGTTAAAGATATGCAACATACCTGCTTGGAGTAAATCAGAATTTTATCAAACTCCCTTCTTTCAGCAAAAGCTGCAACAACTTTGGGGGTGGCTCTAGCTTTTATGTAAATTTTTAATGCAAGATCATTGTCCACTGTCTACAATTCAAAAAAGATAACACAAATGTCAAAATTAGTAAAAACACAAAACCTTGTAAACTTCGAGCTGATGAAAGGCTTCTACCAATGGCTTTAATTAGAAGGAAGTTCAAGTAAACAATTGGATTTTCAAAGAAATTTGAGAGAATGCTGATTTATGTGTGTGTTGGAATCACCAAAAAAGATTCATGGAAAGCATTAAATCTAAGAAAGAATACGACCTGTGAGGTTCAAGAAAACCCCATCCGTTTACCTTCAATCACCAAAGACCACCACTTCTTCATTCTTCTTCCTTTGATCTGTCCAAACCCCAAAGGTCCTCCGATTTCTACCGATGACGGAGTCTAAGAAGCCAAGGAAGGCTCACCGGGAACCAATAATTTCCTCCTCCTCCTCATGAATAGATCGATCATCCTGATCTACCAGTCGTTACTTGCCCTACTCCATCGGACTAGTTGAGTCCCCTCCCTACATGTAATCTGCTGGCGACAAGGAAGAACAGCCAAGGAGACCGCCGGAGCACCTCCCCCCCCCCAAGCTGTGGCAGACAAGAGAAGCATCGCTGCTTCTCCCTTCTCCTTTTGTCAAATCGATCCCGCACCAGAGGTGCTTCCCCTTTCTCGATTGATTTCCATCATTGAGCCACCATGGCTGCTTGCGTTCCCATCTTCCTTTCTCGATAGATGAACCACGACCACCGGACCAAAACTCCCACTACCTTCATCATTCTAATTCCCCTTTTTCGATTTATCTGTGGGGAATAAGAAACAAACGAGAATCAATATTTGGATTCTAATATTGAGACTTGAGAGTATAATACTTAATTAGGGCTTTTTCTGAAAATTTCAACATCGAGTGGGGAATAAGAAAACTATTGGCGAGTATTCTCAATAACAGCAGAGAGATGAAGAAGGTGAAATTACAGCAACGATGAAGTAGATGAATGGAAATCAGAAGACCTTTTTCTTGATTGAGATGATGAAGTCGAGAGATGGAGATGAAATCCTAACCTTCGATCTTTGATTGAGAAGTTGCACAACAGTGTGAGGAGAATGTAAGATTCGTGAAAATGCTTAGGGCAGGGAGGGTAGCGGGCTTTTCTAATTTTTTGGCTTTTCTTTTCCCGCTTGTAACTAAGGAACGTGCGTTCATTAAAATTATAAAGCGACACATATAGAGGGCGCGCATTTAAGGTACAGCGCCCTCCGTGTTTTTAATTTTTTTTTCTTTTAACACTATTTTAAAGGCACGCAATAATGCGTGACCTAAATCCTTAAATTTTTTGAAGAGATGACACTTTTTTAATGTCACTCTCGTATACGTAACATATATTAATGAGTGTCGTAATTTGCGCGTCGTAAAAGGCTATTTTTCTAGTAGTGGATATGATATGATTATGCGAATGCATGCTAGATTAGGGCTAGAGGATCTAGGAAGGATGCCTTATATGCCTACTATATATATGTATGAGAAATGCATGCTAGATTAGGGATAAGGATCTAGGAAGATGCATGATATGCCTTCTATATATGTTTTTGGGTTGCAAGATGTTACTGATTAGTTAGTTATTTGATATCTTGGATAAAGTATGATTGGATTCGGTTACTCAATGCCCGAATGTTGTTGCTTTGTGCTTCGGGAGTCCTAGTTATCTTTAGCTAACTAGTAAACGGATACGTTAAATTACATATTGCGAGGATGAAATAATTCCAGAAGGTTAGGTCTAGCCCTACTGCACAACTCTTGTCTGAGTCCAATCGTTGTGGGGAGGACCTTCATTCGAAGAATTATCTCGTCTTAGTAATATGTAGTGGTATTCGCGAGCTAGTAAGGTAAAGGTAGTAGGGGCTCCTTATGCAGATTATGGCAGAGAGTAGGTTGGAGAGTGACCCTAGGGTTAGCCTAGGACGAGATTGGAAAGGAGTGCAACAGTACTAGAAGGGACTTGGTGAAGTTGAAGCAATCCTTGAGGAAAGTACGGATAGATATGGAAGGTAGTATCAGCCCATACTACTGAAAGCAGAGGATCCATGGTCGAATCGAGGAGGGCCGAGCTGGAATCAGTAAACTTGTAGAAGTGTATAAAACCTCCCGAGGTTTATGTAAGATTCTGAAAGTTATGTTTTATGTTTCAAAATGGTGATGATCACGCGACACAGAGGAGGAGGTTTAGGGTCAGGATCTGGTTCAAGATCATGTTCGGGAGCAGGTACCGAGCCAGTTGCTGAGGGACTACATGAGTTCATTGCTTCTGAGATCACGAGAGGTATCCATGAGTCGACCCCGGTGATTTTTGGCTCAATCAAGGAAGGGATCGTTGAGTTGATGGATGATCGCCTCAGGGAATTCAGGAGCGATATGGCACTCAGCCAGTCAAGATCATGCACACTGTCCTTCAAAGACTTCAGGAGGAGTGTTGCGTTGGACTTCCATGGGGATAAGGACCCCATCACATCCAGGAGATGGATTGCAGACATTGAGTCTACATAGTTGACGAGCTTCTGTCCTGAGGATTCGAAGGTGCGATATGCCACAAGTTGTTTGATAGATAGGGCCAGGGATTGGTGGGAGTCGGTTGGTGACTCGTTAGGGGCCTCGACGATTAAGGCTATGACTTGGTCGGACTTTTTGACCAAGTTCAGGTATGAGTTTGCGCCATCTGTAGAGCTTAAGTAGGTAGCCAGGGAGTTTCTGGATATGAGGCAGACTACAGATTCAGTGGTGGAGATTACTGCGAAGTTCCGAGAGAGGACATTGTTGGTGCCCCAGTATGTGGGAGATGAGGATATGCGGAGGACCCGCTATCACGACATGTTGAGAGCATATATCCGGGAGCATGTCAGCTTCTCAGAATCCCCAACCCTGGATTCCATGATTGCTAGGGCGAGGGAGAGAGAGATAGACTTGGAGCACATTAGGAAGAGGAAGGCAGAGGAGGCACATGTTACTGGGGCTTCGGGGAAGAAGCAAAAGGGATCCGACTCTAGGTCGAAGGGCCAACAAGGGGGGGGGGGTGCTGCGGAAAGTGCAGCAAGACTCGTGAGGGGGTTTGTAGGATGGGATCATCGGGCTGTTACAAGTGCGGTAAGATGGGGCACTTCAGTAGGGATTGTACCGCCCCTGCACCCTCTTTCCAGACATCAGAGGTTATATGTTTCCACTGCAACCAGCGAGGCCATAAAAAGCCAATTGCCCTCAGTTAACAGCAGCAGCTCCAGTGAAGGCACTAGCTCTAGCGACCTTGCGGATTACTGATGGCCGGCAGGGCAAGATAGAGGCTCCAGTAGTGAGGAGCCAAGCCTTCCAGCTGATTACCGAGGAGGCACACGTCGCGCCCGATATGGTGACTGGTACGATTTCTTCTCCCTAACTTTTCTAGTATGTTGTTTACAATATTGATATGTTATGTTGTATGTTGTTTAGGATCGTTCCATGTGAACGGTATCTCAGTTCAGGTATTGTTCGATTTGGGTGCTACTCGATCATTTGTCTCTCTTACGCTTAGCAAAAGGTTCTCTGAGTCTTCAGGCATGTTGGATTGCCCTCTGGAGGTCGAGATTGTGAATGATCAATCAGTGCGAGCATCAGTTGTTTTCAGAGACTATGTTTAGAGGATATTCGAAGAGTGCTACCTGGTAGACTTGGTTCCTATTCCGCTGCGTGGGAACAAGGTGATTATAGGTATGGATTGGTTGATCCCTAACGGGACAGTGATCGACTGCGTGCAGCATTTGGTTCGGATCAGGACCCCAAGTGGGGGAGAGCTGGTGATTCAGGGCGAGAGGCCACAATGCGAACCAGCACGATGTTCAGCAGTGAAGGCTAGGCGCTATCTTCAGCAAGGTTGCGCTGGGTATGTCACCTATGTTATGGATACCTGGGAGGCGGATAAGACGATGGTGAGCGATGTTCCCGTGGTGCGACATTATGCTGATGTATTCCCAGAGGATCTGCCTAGGATACCTACAAAGTGACAGGTGGAGTTCAGGATCGACCTACTCCCTGGTGCTGCTCCGATAGCCAAGGCACCATATCGGTTGACTCATCCCAAGATGCAGGAGTTGTCTACACAGCTGTAGGAACTGTTAGACAAGGTATTTATCAGGTTGAGTAGTTCGCCTTGGGGATCCCCGATCCTATTTGTCAAGAAGAAATATGGGTCGCATCGCATGTGCATAGATTATCGAGAACTAAACTAGGTAACAGTGAAGAACCGTTACCCACTTCCGAAGATAGATGATTTGTTCGACCATCTTTCAGGAGCATCTTGGTTTTCCAAGATAGACTTGCGGTCAGGATACCACCAGATGAGGTCAGAGAGGAGGATGTATAGAAGACTGCTTTTCAGACTCGGTATGGCCACTACAAGTCTGTGGTGATGCCGTTCGGGAGCACCAATGCTCCTGCTGCATTCATGGACCTCATGAAGCGCGTGTGCAGACCAATGCTAGATCGGTCTGTGATAGTTTTCATTGATGACATCTTGGTTTACTCCAAGATGTAGGAGAAGCATGAGGAGCACTTGCGAGAGGTGTTAGATACCCCGAGGAGGGAGAGCTTGTATGCCATGTTCTCCAAGTGCGAGTTCTGGTTGCACAAGGTGCAGTTTCTTGGACACCTTGTCAACCAGAATGGGATATTGGTTAACCTGGCCAAAATGGAGGCCGTGATGAGATGGGAGGTTCCGAAGTCTCCATCTGAGATTCAGAGTTTCCTCAGACTGGCAGGCTATTATCAAATATTCATTCAAGACTTCTCCAAAATATTCGCACCCTTGACGCGGCTGACGAAGAAAGTCGTTGTCTTTCACTGGGGGCCAGAGCAGCAAGCAGTATTTGAGACGTTGAGACAGAGACTGTGCGAGGCGCCGATTCTCGCCCTGCCCAAGGGCGTGGTGGATTTTGTGGTATATTGTGATGTGTCCATCTTAGTTTTGGGCATGGTATTGATGCAGAGAGGGCACGTTATCGCTTACACTTCAAGGCAACTGAAGCCTCATGAAACTAACTACCCAACACATGATTTGGAGTTGGGGGCGGTCATCTTTGCCCTCAAGATTTGGCGACACTACCTCTATGGGGTCCGTTGTACCATTTACACAGACCAAAAGAGTTTGAGGTATCTCATGGATCAGCCGAATCTAAACATGAGGCAGCATCGGTGGTTAGATGTGGTGAAGGATTACGATTGCGAGATCCTTTACCACCCAGGGAAGGCCAATGTCGTGGCCGATGTGCTTAGCCGCAAGGTAGCGCTGATCAGAGACGTCTACATGAGGATGACAGTGGTGACTCCTTTTGGAGCAGATGCGAGAGGCCCAGCAGGAGGCTATGAAGGAGGAACATCGGAAGAGCGAGCGTATTGTGGTACATATTTCCTCCTTCGATGATGATAGCCGTGGGTTATTGACGCTACACCGCGGGTTGTGGGTTCCCTATCATGGGGGTGTGCGCCAGGTTCTGATGGAGGAGGTGCACAAATCCCGATTCTCGATTCATCCTGGGGTGATGAAGATGTACAGGGATCTTCAACCAGATTAATGGTGTCCCTGCATGAAGCG